GCAAATATTGCGAGCAGTCTGACAAATCTCTAATCCGAATTTAGCATCGAATGCAAAACTGTTAGCGGTCCTCAAAACTGGAAGGTGAAGAACACCAAACGGATAGATTGTTTGTTGAGCTATGATAACAATAGTTTTTGGGTGATGGTGGAGGTGATGGGAAGGTGGTTGTTTTTTTAATACCTAGTAGGGTATGTATCTACTTTTTGCCATTGTACTAGGGTTGACTATTAAGTAATGGAAGTGCCTTAAGCAATTAAACGTTTTTGCACGTGCACATGTTTTCTTGGTGTCATTTCATGCGCCGATGTTTTTTCTATCCAATGGTGAAGACCACATGTCCTTAGCTACTTCTTGCTCCAAGCTATCGTCGTTTTCCCAAGAGACCACCCGAACCTGCGGCGCACCATGAAAAAGGAGTCTGGCAATGGTCAAAATCGCGCGCCAAGCGCCAGCGCGAGGTCATCAGAGCTTATTGGCTTATTGTTATGGCTACACAATGGACAATTTCTATATTTTCATCAAAACAATACACATTGGCACGATAAATGACAGCATACACTACTCTACATAATCGCCTTCAAGCATCACACACCATTCCAGCCTCGTCTTGACCCACTCCTGGAACGCCGACAGAAGACTGATCGGCGCTTTCTTTCTCAAACCGATGAAACCACCGACATATCGTCTGTGGGGAGGCTGCGTCGCTCCATACAATTATAAAATAAATTTTCTGATATTGGTAGGCCTTTTCCCTACGACAAACTGAGCTCTAATGACCTTGCACTCGGGGCTGGCGCGCGGCTTTGGCCATTGCCAGGTGGTGCGCCACAGGTTCGGGAGGTCTCTTGGGAAAACGACGATAGCTTATAGCAAAAAGTAGCTAGGGACATGTGGTCTTCAGCATTGGATAGAAACAAGATCGGCGCATGAAATGACACCTAAATAATGTGTGCACGTGCAAACCCGTTTAATTGGTTAAGGCACTTCCATTACTTAATAGTCAACCCTAGTTTTGTGTAATTGGGAGCCACCATGACAATATGTGACAGATCCATCAATGCTCATAAGCCAAGGTATTCCAATATTTACGTTGATAGGTAAACGCTGATTCTGCTGAGAAATGTAAAGTGAGTGAGAAGACCATGGATTAGATCAAGCAATTTATGACCCTTAGCCCAAAATCAAATCAGTAACTAAGGTTACCAAATTATAATGTGAACATGCATTGTGTATTCATTAATATGTTTTGCTTGCTCACAAATGTCCTGTTGAAACAGGATATTGAAAATATAAAGTTTAACATGATATCATAAACATGTGTGTTGAGCAATGTGCGCCTGCTTACTGCTACTGTTAACTTGATAACTATACTGATTTTAGGGCACTGGAATGAAACTTTACATTCATTTTTTCATCTTCATGTATTGACATTTATGTATAATTTTGTGTTTACAGTTTGATTAAAAACTTAAAACAAAATGTCTATGTTTTTTCAATTATGATAGCTGTGCGCATTTATAATACTGACAAAATACCTAAAAAATTTGCAGTGCATTGTGTGTGACTATGATGCAAGTAGCACATATATTTCTACATAATATAGTACTAAATATGGTCATAACTTCAATTTCCAGCACATGGTGATTGAATCATTTTGTCAATTCAATCAACTTGAATCGATGAGTTGCCGATTCAATCACTTGCAGTTGCCATGTGTGACCGATTCAATCAGGATTCATATGGTGACAAGAGGTGATTCAACCGACTCAATCACAGTGAGTCGGCATTTTCAAGCGATTCATGAGAATCGATTCAATCAGAGTTGAATCGCTTACAAGTCTGGTTAGGTCAGAGCTCACCGGAATGTTACGATGCATAGCTTACGAACTGAGAGATAATGTCATTAATGATTAAGTCATGTTCCCCGTGCAGCTGTATTATGTTAACGAATGAATGGGATCAAAACAAAATTTGGCTGGTTGTATTGTGGACCACAAGCACTACCTAATTAAGTTATACAAGCCATCGACATTTTCATTGCCTATACCATTGCCATTGCCTATATATATTGTTTTATGCCATTCCTGTTGGATTGGATGCTGTTGACTGCCGTCTACAGAAAGCAAATTTTGGTCGTAAATATCCTTGCGATATGATACCAAATTCTTATCGATGGAGCACATTTTTAGAAGAGGAAAAGTTCCGAAATTAGAGAAGTATTACCAGGACACAAATACCGCAGCTTTGTCATTCCCCTATTCTCTGTTCTCCATCCAATTAATGGCCTCGTGTGAAAACACCTACACCAACGTTTCCCAAAATCACCAGTACCTAATGACCCTCCTACCGCCTTTCTCAATTCACCGAATCATTACCGAGCCAGCGAACCCAGTCACCTCTCTCCGCAGATGACGTCACTGATGACGTCACACGTCAGTGCTGTGGGCGTATAAATCAGCCCCGCCTTTTATGGAACCAGTTTTCCGCGGTGTCAAGGACGGTTCCAAAGCAGCCACCAATAATATGTGGCGGTCCTCGCAAGGCCGCTTAGTGTGTCATCGCCTAAAAACTGGCATCATAAACGATTAAATAACTAACTAGATGGATATGTTTCCGATCGGAGATGATTGATGGTGTGGAGTTCACATCACCCGACGTTGTCACTTGTCAGTTCAAATCAGAAAATAGGGGCAGATGCTATAAGGTAAACGGTACTGGACTTAAAGGGACCCTCCCACCTTAACATTAAATTTGAGTTGAGATAGCCAAAATGGGGTCCCTGGCTCACAATTACCGGTTTCGGCACTCACAACATCGAGAAATGCCTTAAATCGGAAATATTGAATTTCAAAATTGCAGCATTTTGATTCAGAGGGGCTAATGCTAAGGAATACCCCTCTGAATGTGTGACGTCAGCGCAAATATCTAACGATTTTTAAATGTTTGACTAAAACGTTTTGTAGCACGCGGTGGTATATGCTATTTGCGCGCAACATCTGCCGCAAACGCCGCACTTCTAGAATAAAGTCGCTAGAAACAGCGGAGATCCCAAAAAAAGTAAACAAAAGTAAAAGTCTAATATCTTGAAAACCGGTGAATATTTTTCGGTGAAATTTGGTAGATATTCGTTTTCGCTCTTTCTGAACCGAGCAACATCACTTTCATGCCAATTCATAAACTTTTTTGAAGGTGGGAGGGTCCCTTTAATTTCCCATAAAACAGAGTCCTCGAATCTAACACCCGTCCCTCATCTCGGTATTTATTATTGATTTAAACACACCCAGTTCCACCCATGGCCATGGCCTTCATTCAATCAGACTTATATCAACACAGCAGTCCGTTTGCAGCTGCCATGTGTATGGTATGTGTGTGTGGGCTCTGTAAGTGCGCATTTGAGGCTGCCGGGTGGCGTGGGCGGTTCAGCAGTCACCGCCGCGGTAATTTGTCAACGAGAACCGACACCTGCGCCGGTCACTTCACCCGAACTGGAGGTGACGCCGTGACGTGTCACCCGTCACATCTGTCACCCCCCACGGCTGTCACATCCCCCCCCCCCGCTAACGGGCCGAGCACGAGCGACGCCGGGGCTGCAGTCTGCACAGCGAGCTGACGGTCACATATCGTCATCCGGAGAGACGAATAACTAAGCATGTCTTTAGATTTTAGAGTGACTAAGAGTGGCGAACGCTTTTACCGTAATTCATAACAACACGATGAATATTGAATGTTGACAGTCATTCGACAAGGCTGATGTCGCGAATATATCTTTACTAATATTCGCGAAGTGTCTACGTGCGACATAAACGGCCGTCTGGCTATGCGGAAACTATAATAGTTGCGCGAATGTTCCATCAGTCATAAATGTGAAATACAAATAAAGCAGCTGGGTGACGGCGCTTTGAGCACTGACCCCAATGACTGTCCGGAGATTGGAAAAACGGGACCACCAGCCTCCCATAACTGGGTGACCGCGTGACGGAACTGTTCCAAGTACCATCTCGACATTTGGCAATCAGGAATTGACGGCAGTAAAACACACCTGACCTAGTTGGTTTTAAAGCGACCCGCTGCCGTTGGCATACTTCCAGCTCGCTGTGTGATTACCGACCGCCGCCATCACGGTTCCACGTATAGCATTGCGCTGGCGCTTTCGCCCGCACTGCGCCACCACGGCGTTTCTCGGTAAATGCTATTCTGTCAAGGCCATGGCCGGTAGATGGGGCCAGCCTAGCATACCTTTGAGAAGCCAACACATCTGATACAATAGTCTGTCTGTACTTTGATCACAACTCGACCCAACTTTGCACGGCAGTCAGATGGCATCTGACACTGGCTGACCGTTCTGGGAACTGGCCGACCCCGGAGCGGTGACCTGACCTCTGACCTCTACCCGGACAGGTCAGTGGCGGCGGCGTGGAGGCGTCAGCTCGGCGTCCAGACGGCCGTGACCGGCACGCGATGCCCACTCGGCCGGCGCACGCCACCGCTGACCGGAAACGACCGAGGTCCGGCGGCCCGGCGGCGAGAGCAGCGCTGGGAACAACGGGAGGTGAGGATTGTACCGGACAGAGCGGAAATGTCGGCCGGTGGGGCCCAATTCGACAGAGGTCGGCCAGATCGAGTGGAGATCAGCGGATTGGCAGAGAATGACAGCGGATAGACAGAATCAGAGTAATGGTAATAGCGACAGAATCAGAGTACCGTAACGACCCGTAACGAGTGAAGGCACTTCCTCGCAGCGAGTGAAGGCACAACTGTAAGGACCAACTAGCCGGACGACCCTAAGGCATGCAGATTCCCAGTTAATCCTACAGCCCAGGCCACACAGTTCATCCTACAGCGCACGCGCAACACCCTACATCGCGGATCCCATCATCCAGCCTACAGATCGGGTCCTACGACTGAGCCCTGAGGAAACCCCGCAGACCTATCTCGCTTCTCAGTCCCTCCCATTCGACACTCACCATCCCTCTCCTCGTCTTACCATAACGCGCTGCACTAATACAAAATAATATATTTGTCACGTGGCATAAAAATACACAATATATCAACGACGTCAAATGCAACAGCTGGCGCCAACAGGAGCCTGGTCGGTGGCCGCCAAAGGGGCGGCAGGGTCACTCCTCTCACTCACTCACTCGAGAGAGCGCGCGCGCGTGCACCACAGCTTTATTTGGTCTGGGTCAGGAACTTGTCTCCTGGTCTGCCGGTCTGTTGGTCCGGTCGGTTACCGGCTGTACGGGTACTGGTCTAGGTAGGTCCGCAGCTGCGCCGGCAGCAGGGCCAGCCGCCGGTCGTCGCAGCCGGCCGCGTTCAGCGCCAGCCGGCAGCAGTGCTGCAGGCTGGGCACGGTGCGTTTGAGGGGTCGGCCCAGCCGCACGCGCACCGGCACACCGTCCACGGCCACCAGGCCCTGGCGCGCGTAATGCTCCACCAGCGCGTGCACATCGGCGAATGTCGGCATGCCGTCCAGCAGCTCGGCGGCGGCGTCCAGTCGGAACCGGCCGCGCCACAGCTGCACGCGCATACTGGTCGGCCCGTGCGCCGTCTGCATGCTCAGCGCGAACACGAAGCGGCGGTGGTGCGAGTCACGCGCCAGGAACGTGCCCTCGGCGGTGCTCTGGAGCGCCAGCTGCGCCTGCTGCCAGCTGAGCGCGCCGTAGTACCAGCCGCTCTCCCTCAGCAGACCGAGCGCGCGCGCCAGCGCCTTGTCCTCCTCGGGCTCGGGCTGTTCGGGCCGCGCGGCGCTCGCCGCCGCCGTCACGGCTGGGCGCGGTCGGCGCGGCCGCGGCGCCGCCGCCGCCGCCGCCGGCGCGTGCGTCTGCACGCTGACAGTGACCGAGCTGGGACAGCCGCTGATCTGCAGCTGGATCCGGCTGCTCGGCTCGGACGAGGCCGGCAGGCCGATGGCGATCTGCGGCCCGGCGCGCTGCTGCGGCGCCGCCAACCGGCCGCCGCTCGTGTGCAGCGGCCGCCGCTGCTCCTTCTCCGGCTGCTCGGCGCCGATGTCAGCGCCGATGCTGACGCTGATGCTGTTGGCTGAACACGCCCCAGTTGCAGGCGCCGCGCCGCGCTGAGGAGCGCTCCGGGGCGTCCACCAGCAGGCGCTGGGCGCGGCCGGCATCGGCTCGTCGTCGAAACCGTCACAGCCGTCATCGTCGCCGTCGTCGGGTAGTTGGAGGAGGTCCGAGTCGTTGGCAGCCGTGGTCAGCCGCGGCGGGATGTTCTCCCAGCGGTACTGCGGCCGGCCCGGCTCCACCGGTGCGCACCAGCAGTCGCCGCCCAGCGCGTCATCGCCGGCGCCGTCATCGTCGAGCCGCTCCGCGTCGTAGCGATAGAAGTCGGCGGCGGGCCTGCGCTCGCGCGCCCGCTCGAACCCACTCTGCACTCGCGACAGCATCTCGCTCGTGTATCGCGTCTCTCTCTCCGTACGATCACCGGTCTGTGGCACTCTCAGCTCGCTGCTCGCATAGCCCGTCACCACTGGCTGAGCTGCTCTGTGTCGATCAGCGCCCGTCACGCGGAGCTCTCCGTCCCGCTGTCGACTCTGCGACGGTCCGCTCGCGACTGACGCTCCGGCCGGCCGGCCGGACGGCGGCGCGGCGCGGCCGCCCGGCCGGCCCGGCCTTCGCCGGCTTTCTCACAACCGCCGCCCGCCGCCCCGGCAAACACTTCTCGGGATCCTGTCACGTGACTGTGTGACGTCACCGGCGCAGGCGTCGCCATGACGACGCGGGCGGCGCGGTATCGTCGGTCGGACGGACGGACGGACGGACGGACGGCCGGACGGGTACCTTTACCGACAGGTGAGCAACCGCGGCACCGCGGCCGGACAGTCGGCCGGTCCATTAAACATGGAAAACAGATAAGAAACAATTAGCCCGTGAGAAAAATCATCAAATGCGATAGAGCGGAAAGCGACCTTGCAGGCACTAGTTGCTCGTGTCAGTGTATGATGCCTTTCTAGTGTATGTGTAGTGTGCATTGGTATCGTGTTCCCCACCCCGTCGCGGCACGGCATAGGTACAGTAATGGGCACAATATCCATTACATGTTTACAAGGAACGCAGCAGCAGCACGTGAAAAACCGCCCCTACCTTCTGGTAAATGCCGGCAAAAACCAGTTGCAAAGAAGGCTGTAATTAATTGCTCATTAACCAGAGCAGTGACTGTTGAACTAAGCAGAATCGCTTTACGGGATAGCTTTATTCATAGAATGCTACATATCAGTATTTTCTCGTTCGGTATTGACCATAAGTGCTGCAACGCTGGTACGGCCGTTCAGCCTTCCAAAGATTCTGTGCTGTCACATTAAACGTTTAACAGGGAATCTCGGGAGTTTTGTTTTCATTTGGAAGGTGGAAGACTGTTCTTTTCTAAAGTATCAACGTCTTTAATTTGTGAGCCATAAGTTGAACGAACTGTTTCAGGACAGCTTTGCTTCAGGACAGCATTTCAGTAATTACTTGTCTCGTATAATCGAGCCGTATCCAGTTTATACTACATAATTCCTTATATCATCAGACAGTCACTTTTCAAAAAAAAAAAATCCAGTTTGCCCCTCCTCGGACACCTCAGCCTGAATACCGTGAGGTGCCGCCGCCCGGGGGGGCGTCCCTTCCACGAGCCCTCGCCCCTGTAGGCTGCGGTCGCCGGCGGTGGCCCCGGTTCCGACAACTCCTTACCGACGGCCCAGGAGCAGCGATAACCAGTCCACCCCCTCCTGACGCATTACGCTCGGAGAATCCGATACGGTACCCAGCAGCGTCCGCCCCCGGCCACCCGCGGCTGACGCAAGTACCGCTCGGCCCGCGTGCCAATCGACACCGTCACCTCCACTCAGCTAACGAGACAGAGGTGGCCGGGAGGGCTGGGACGAGGTGAAGTGAATAAAGGTGAGCTGGGGTGATGTGGCATGGAATAGGACTACCTAGACCGCGGCCGGGTGAGGTTAGGTTAGGTGAAGTAAGATGAGTTAGGGTAAGGTGAGTTTGGCTGAGGTGAGGTTAGGTTATAAGTTAGGTGAGTTGGGGTGAGTTAGGTCGGGACGGGATATGAAGATAGGTGAGAAAGTAAGGTGAGCTAGGGTGAGACAAAATTACTTGGGGTGAGGGTAGGCAAGGTGAGGGTATGTGAGCTGGGGTGCGCGCTGCGGAGGGTGTGGGCCGGGTGCGGACGCCCTCGGGCCGGTACCGGGAGGTCGTCCCGGCCGGCAGCCGCCGCCGCGGTGGGTGGACGTTCCCAGTACGGCCTCTGTCGACCCCACCCTGTGGATCGGCCGCCCCGGGCCGGCTCAGGAGACGGCCAGAGGGATCTGGGTCACACCGCCGGACACGCCGAGGGAGACACAGTGGGCGGAGACAGGAGATGAGCACCGCAGGAAGAGGTTGGGGGTCAAATCGAGTTGGTCATTACCTGAGTTAACGGTAAGTTTCAGTAAACTCGAATTCAGTCCAATTTTACCACTATTTGCAGCTGTAGAAGTTTAGACTAAGCCTGAGCCCATTCGGGTCTCACGAGGTCCATGAGTTTGCCTCGAGATGAGTGTCATTTGGATGCCGTTTCAGCTCTGCAATGTGGCACTCCAGAGCTCCAGTCATGCCTCTGTCCGGCTCAAAACCCGTAGAGTCCGGCTAGCGTCCATCTCAAGTCCCACGAAAAGTCCCACAGCAGCTCAGCTCTGGCCTCAGCGGAGTCCCAGAAACCAACCAGGATGTCACAATCACATCTAAATTCCGGCTCGGTTCTACCCTCTTCTCCACCCTAATCTCACTGAGTGTGGAGTGCAGAGTGAGGGAATGAAACTCACTCCCCGCGGCGAACTCCATTTCCACCCGAGGAATGCTTCCCATACACTCATCTGCACTGAGTATAGAGTGAAGAAATGAGCCTCACTCCCTACCGCCGCGGGCGACCACTTCAATCCCACTCTAGGAATCCCTCTGCCAGCCCCACCTAGCTCTCTCATTGCCTGTAATGACCGGGCTTGCATTGAAACGACTGTAACGAGCGGCCTGGGCTGTCTGCGGGCCGTGCCGGCCGCGCCGCTCGCCCGGGCGAGTCGACCGCGGCCGAGCCAGTCGGCGGGCGGTCGTTCGCGGAAGGTGGGATCCGTTATTGCAGTGGGGCACGATTGTGGCCGCTCACAGGTAAGAAGGCAGCCGCCGCCGCCGCCGCCGGCCGGTGCCGGCCGGTGCGCAGTGCAGTTTCACTAGAACCCAGAACGGTCGCCGCAAGGAGCGCAGTGGGCCGCTGCACGCTGGTGAGAACCAGCCAGCTTTCGTTAATGTGGTTGAGCTCGGCAGGATATGAGTTGAAACGGCTGTTCGGACTTCGTTGATGCGTTGAATACTTAGTTTAGACATGCCAGGTATTTCAGCTCTCGCCCGTCTTTTAGTTATCAGCTTAGTATGGGAAAATTTAGCTGTTCCATTCGCTTGTCTTTTAATTAATTAACCAGGGTACTACAGAGTACAGTTCTCACTTCTTGACACCTATTTTTCATGTGACCAGGATATGTAATTCATACGCCTTGATCTATATTTCAGGGAACCAGGATCAATTCAGCATGTCCGTCTGTCCTTCACTTTTCAGCAGACAAGCAGGATGCAAGCTGGTGTGTTTGTCTGCCGTTAAAGTCCCCGCACTCCGCAGAGAACCAGGATGCAATTCCAGCCGCCGGGCACTGGCCTGCCGAGTGTCTTGTTAGATCTTAATGACATTTCCCGTGAAATCGAAATGAGGTTTTCTACTTAAAGCAGTGCTACAGTTTTAACAGGGTAGTCGCCAATCTATGGTCGCAGTATTGGCCGAGCGTTTCCATTCGGAGTGCAGATTTCTAGTCACGTGGTATGGTTCGAGTGGCACTGCCACCAGCCAGGAAAGCCGGCACGACGCATACAGAGTGTCACGTGACAGGCCCCCAGTTCCGAAAACGACCTCAAGGATAGAATGTGGGGGTAACGGAAAACTCGTTACCAAATGTCTGCGCCATTGCATCACCAAGGCTTTCGCAAAATCGCTCATTCGCGTATCATGCACATAATTTCCCGCTGAGAAACGACTGTCACAAAGGTAGTGCTGAATCACCATTTACATACGAATACATGATGACAGGAGTCTTCAGGAATTAACGCAAAGGCTGACAGCAGTGCGTTGGAATTTAAGTCGAGAAAGGTTAAGAGGAACAAAGTGACAAATTGCGTTATAGTCAGCACATATGATGCCAGAGTGCTAGTATCTGTTATATACACCTCCCCAATCCCTTTGGTGAAGGAATCAGGGAATCGAATAAGGAATGGAGCAAGGGCTGGTGTATTTGATGCCAAAAAAACAGTATCTTTCAAACCCGCCTCGTCTCTGTTCCGCTGCTCTACCTTCTCTGTTCGGCTGCTCTACCCTCGCTGTCCTGTCGCTCTACCCCTTGTCTCGCTGTCCTGTCCCTCTCTCCTGTCTACTTACTGTCTACTGTTTAGTTTAGCTGTCCAACTGTCCAACTGTCGGTCACTTCCCAGTAGCCGGGCGAATTACAATAGCTGACCTCCAACGGTTAGGGTGAAGAGGACTGCTATCAGAAGTGGACACCCACTTACCACACATCCTGCCACGTCACACTGTCCAGCCACTGCGCCAGGATCGCCTCAGTCGCTGCGCCAGGTTTGCCGTAGCACCCAGTGACGTCATCACCGCAGGGCTGTCCGTTCCAGCCGCCATGAATTTTCACCGTAACGGTATGACGGCCGCCTGTCATGAGTTTCAGAGAGCTGTCACATTCTCATGAAGAGACTTACGGAAGGGGCGCTGTTGTGGTGAAATGTGATAATTATGCGGTGGGGGCTTAAAGGCATCGTGCTTGTTATGTCATGCAATAAACAACAATAACTTTATCGTGTAATTAGTGTGTCGTAACGTGACCATTTAGCCGCCACACGAGGTGCTTTATGCCTGTTGACGCCAGCCCGACAAAACATACATGACACATGAGCCACGAAAGCTCTGCCGTAACGTGACACCCGTGACGTGTTGTGAAGCCAATGACGTCATCACGGGACCGCAAGGCACAATGTGAGCGTCACGAACAGACTCGGCGCCGATGTTAATTTAGATGTGGACAGTGGCATGTCGTCTATTTTCAACCTTCCCCAGCGATTATGCCTTTTTCTCGTATTGGATGCTGTGTATGAATGTTACGAATGTGACTTGTGAGTGAGTGAATGAGGATGGGCTTTCAGTAGAGGGCAGTCACCACTGTTTACAGTGTCGACTACTTTGCTTCTTATTCATTCATATTAACCATGGACTCTCTCTTTACTGCTTTTTTATGTTTCTTTCATTTCCTAGCTGGGAGTGCCGCGACTTGAAATTTTAAGTTATTCTGGTGTTAACGTAAGGTTCTGTGTGTCGCTGGGATAGAGGGAGGGGGCACTCCTGGTCACCTGATCATGGGTGGCGGCTTAGAAAAAAAAAACCTATCATAGGGATATTCGTGGTAGTGTAATGCGATCTCATGCCGTCAAAGTTCAATCCCATCAGCACTGACAAAATAAGAGGGAAGGAGGAACTAAAGAGGTCACGAAATACAACAAAAAATTGCACATCACGTTTTTAGCTGTGCATGTGAAGAAGCGAATCAAATCACCAC